GGCAGGATAAAAATGCAGTGTAATAATAACAACACTGAGCTCAACCTACACAATGCTAGGCTTGCTTTCATTTTTTGGGAATATGCTGATGGGAGGTTGCCCACTTGACTGTAGAAGGGGTGGTGCTGGAGTGATGAATACCTTCAGGCTGTTTTTATGACTAAATCCAACCCACCTAATTCCTCCTATTCCTTTCCCATGGATGGGAAAGCAACTGGTACTCCATCCTGGGCCATGATGCTGCAGGGAGCTTCACAGCTACCCCCAACTGCACTTCGTTGAAAAAGAAACAAGCCAAGAGACTCAATTATAAAGACTATGCTATAGGGTTGTTATACACAACTCTTTCTCTGCCCATCTCCAAAAGCTGTAACAAAGGCAGACTCCTTCACAGGACTGGTGTAACTCCTGCGCTCTCAAACATGTGGTGTAATGGTTAGAGCAGCCTTTCTCAAACCCAGTATCCCCCAAAGATGATAGACTGAAACTCCCAACCATTCCATGGTGGGAGTTGCAATCCAACACATGTAAAGGCAGCATGTTGTGGGGGTCTGGGCTGTAATGTTGGACTAAGATTGAGAAGACCAAGGCTCATAACCACATTTAACCCTCAACAGCAGGCAAGTGAGAAAGGCCCCTTTTGTTGCTCTTAAAGCAAAAGCTGGCAGAGGTGAGTGAAGGCAGTTCTAATTTAGTCCCAAATTTAGTCTGCAAAGGTTCATTCCAGAACTTTGCATGGGGCTTGGAAATACATCAGTTAACTACTGCAGTTGGTGCAGTATAAGCATCATACGATTCAGCTGCCTCACTTCCACCAACCATGGGTAGCTGCTTCTGCACCATGGTTCTATGGATGAGAATGTGATGGTGGTGGTGGGGAACTACCACTTGGAGCCACTTGGAGAAAAGGTCGCTTACAAGATTGTTGTGGTTATTAATGCTGGACTTTATTTGCACTGTTGGCTCATTTTTAAAACTTTGCCAACTCAGGGTGAAAAAAAAAATCCTATATCTGCATGTAATAAGACTTCAGTTAGAAAGAATATGAGCTGCTGTCTTCATTGCCTATTCTGTATGTTGGGGTAGATGTGTTAGTGCACAAACATGGCTATACTAAAGTTCTAGTATTTCAACTCTTTATGGGCAGTAATATTTTTGTTGACCAAGTATTAGGAAAATTCTTTTTCAAAATTTTGTTAGTGTGCACATGTATACACTAGAGTTTTCCAGGTTTTAACCATCGCACAGGGTACATGTATGTAAACGAATACACATGACAAAACTGTCTTTCCCTGTAACTGTCTGTACAAATATTTACTGTCAAATGCATTTTGAGTTGCAGTTATTCAATGGGTAAAACCAAATTTATATTAGGTTTCATTTAAGCATACATATCTGTTATGGTCAGTTTAGACATTATCAGGGCCTTTTTTGTCATAGAATGCACCAGAACGGTGTTCCGGCACCTTTTTTTCAATGGATTTTACAAAGTGATTTTGGCACAGATCAACAGCAAACATCATTAACATAGTGCCTGCAGGCTGCTATTGTATATGCTATCTGATCATGAGAGATAGCTGCTCCTGCTGCTGCTCAGCTTGGGATTGGTGTGTGTGCTTACTGCCGCCAGCGATGTGAGTTCCGGCACCTGTTATTTTTACAAAAAAAGCATTGGACATTATTATATTTCATTAAGAATAATACTTAGGTTACTGTCAGTCTAAATGTAAACCTGCTTTAGCAGCCCATGTGAGACAATGATTATGGAACACATTATTAAAACATAGAGCAGGCAAAGAAGAATCTTTGGCCATGTGTAAGGGACAGGGAATCATCAAAGTGATTCTTGGTGGAAAATATAATCTGCAAAACTTCTGGAGGGTGTAGCACAACACAGCTACAACCTTGTTCCACAATGTGCTAGTGGTTTTTATTTGCATGTTCTAGCCAGGGGAGAATTTTCAAAGTGGCACACTCTCCCAAAGTTTAGTAACTGACCACCACCAAAGATTCCTTCCATGTAATTATGCTGCTTCTGGGCCCACACTTGTGCTGTCTATCTGCAAGTGCTAAATAATGGAGTGATGGGCATGTGTGAAAGACACAGCCCTTAGAGATGCCCTTTGTGCCTTTTGTAAGCTCCTGGCTTGAAGCTGCAGTCCATTCTATGTGGGTCTATGAATTTCAAATATGAATACATATTTGAAACAGGCACTGAGCAGAGGAACCTAAACCATAAAGGAAAACAGCTTCTGATTCTGGCCTTGAGCAACAACAGATCCTTAGCTACAGCATGCTAAATGGCCATTTTGTACTGTAAAAAGCAGTATGACATAGAATGCTATAGCCCATCAATTACTCCCAAAGGATTTGTTTAAGGGCAAGAAATGTGATGGGTAGAGCTTAGGTGGCTCAATTACTTAGGGACTCAATTACTTAAAACAAAGAAACTGAATTTTAAAAAATGACAAATTCAAAATTATTTCTCTGCTAGAGGTCGCACATAACAACCCTGCCATCCATAAATCTGGAAGTCTCTAAGGCACAGTATCTCTCTGCTAGAGATGTGACAATTAATTGGTATTTTACTTACCTCATCCACACAGATTATGCAGAAGAATTCTAATCACTGTGTGCTACACATATGTAAGGTCAGGGTGGACCAGACTTTGACAGTGGTGTAAAATGGATGTTGCTTATCCTCCTTATTAAAGGGAGGGAGGGAGCACACTACTCAGGGATTTGGTAAAGCAGAAACCAAGGGGCTGCCAAGAGATTTCCTAGAACCAATGGGCTTCTACCTTCTGCAAAAAATCTATGCTGCTAGAACGTATTGTGCATACTTCTGGGACCCAGATTTGCAAGAGAAAGCAAAATGAAACAGAAAAGAGACTGAAGAGGAAAGGGGGAGAAACTAATCACAATACAACCTAAAAATGTAGAAGCCAGGCTGCTTTGTTTAACCACAGCACGGATACTGAAAAATATGTGATAAGAACATATTCAGAGTTTGATATGAAGAAAGATATCTTTGTTCCAAGAAGAAGAAGAAAAGTTTGTGCATGGTCTATTATCCCAACCTCCTTTTCTCCTCCCATTTATAGGTCTGCAGTTAGAGACTAGTGAGGAATGGTAGCACAAAGTCCAGGAAATCACCAGCATGGTTAAGGATTAGAGTCAAGGAAACCATTAGGGAGAAAAAAGGTTCCTTCAAAAAAAATAAAAGATTTGACCAATTGGAGGGGGAAAAGAGCAGAAGGGACTACAGACTTGTGCAAGGGTGATGCAAGCAGACAATCAGAGAAGCAAAGAAAGAGTATGAGAAGCACATTGCTAACAACATCAAGGCAAACAATAAGGAATTCTTTAAATCTATCAGAATAAAGAAAGCAGCTAAAGAAGCAGTTGGACCACTGGACGATAGTGGAATTAAAGAAACACTATGTAGGGGATGAGAATGCAGAGAAGCTGAAAGATTCTTTTGTCAGTCTTCACAGCAGAGGAAGAACGGATACCTGCCCCTGAGTTTAAGTACTCTGGAAGGGAGTTTGAAGAACGAAGGCAGATAGTAGTGACAAAGATGCAATTCTCAACCCTACTGACAAACTTAAAGTCAGTAAATCACCTGGCCCAGATAGTGTTCATCCTAGAGTTCTCAAAGAACTCAAACATGAAATTGTTGATCCTGTCATCTTTCCCCGGGGTTCAGTTTAAAAGCTGCTCTGCTACCTTTCTAGTATTTAGCACTAGCAAACTGATTCCATTTTGGTTCAAATGGAGTTTGTCCCTCCTCCTACAAGTTATCCTAAAATGCTCACCGGGGCTTAACAAAACTGAACTCCTCTTCTCTACTTCACAGTCTCATCTATGCACTGAAACTCTCAGCTTTGCTTGCCTTGCTGGCCCTGTGTTTGGAACAAGTAGCATTTCAGGTCATCCTGAATTTCTACCTCCTGCCTAGCAACTGCTGTATTATGGTCAACAGAGCATGTATTAGAGAACAATCTGGTCACTACAACGCTCTAGTGCAGATTCTAAACACTTACAAGGACAGTCTCACATAGAGTATATTTCAGCAATCTCAACAAGACATGGATCACTGTAGCTGGATCTGCCCTTCCCCTGAAAGTGGCACAAATGGCACATAAGTTGAACATGGATAAAGAGGCTCCTGGCCACAGCAGCCACATGTCCTTCTAGAAGCAATACAGACACCAGTGGAAAGCCTAAGCTGTAAACCTCCAGTTCTGGATAAACTTATCTACTGACCAACACAACTGTGTTAACCCACATCTATTGCCTCACTGCCTCCACATGGCCATTAAGGAACCCCACCACCTCGACGACTTCAGATGACCAGCAGCTTCATATGGATGTTGAAAACCACCGTGGTCAAAACAGAGCCCAAGGAAGTCCTTAGCTCAGTAGTCACTTGCCCAAGGAATAGCACCATCTTCCGTGACTGGCCAACCAAGTCAGATCAGAATGATGGCAGCACAGAACCCCTAAGCCCCATACTGGCCAAACAGAAGGATACTATGACTGATGGTACTGCCTGCCCCTTGAAAGGAACACCCTCTCCCTGTCTAGTTCTGGCACAGATTATCCACCAAGGAGAACAAGGCCACTCCTGTCCCATCGTCCAACCTGAATCTAGATTGGAAAGGTTCCAAATAGTTATTTTCATCCATGAAGAGCCTTGGAATTGACTCACTGCCATGACAGAAAAGGAGCTAAAAGCAGATAAGGCTAATATCTGGCCTGCTTCAGTGCTGGTTTTTCATACCTGGCATTAATTATTCTAAGAAACCTTGAATTGCATTATATATTATTTTGGCTAAATGTGACTGCATTACCAGCCTTTTTTGCTGAATAGCCAATGCATGTATGAATACGCCGCCCCTCATTTTTCTCAAATATGAGCCAGTGTAGCAGTTCCATGTTTACTCTCCTGTCTTTTAGAGAATGCTGCCACTCCAACTACAAGGAGGAAAACTTACCTAGCAATCCAGGATTAGGAAATCTCCAAGAATCATTGTATGTTGAATATTGTGGGTGGCTGTATGGGCTCCCAGAAAACTCACTCCCTGAATTAAAGAGAAAGAGAAACACATGCTATTTTAATGATCATTATCACAGTATGAAGTATTTTCTGTGAAATGGATAAAAGTTATATTTTTATATTGTGGTGCCCTTGAAGAAGAGCTTTATCACTCAAAATGCACGAATGTTTTAAAGGAAAAGTATGCCACCTTTGTATGCAATTTCTGTAACTTCCCGCACATGGTGCATTCTTGCTCCTGAATTACTAGAGTACCAATCTAGGAAAGATAAATCTTTCCCTGTTATTGTGTCTTTTGAGAGGTATTTTTTAAAGGAAACTGACAAAAGGAATTACCCATGCTTTAGACAACATATCTATGTAGAATGAATCTGCAAAGGGGAAGGAATGATACCCACTGGAACTCATGACCTTAACACCTCCAACGTAACTCCTAAGCAGCGTTTAGGCTGAGTCTCCATTACTTGTATCCTTCATTTTCAGATCTGCACGTGTACTTATGAAGCACAAACTGCTTTAAGTGACTAGCTCACACTGTAATTTTTCCATGGATCTCTCTCTCTACAAATCATGCTCATGTGCACAATCACACAGAAAAAGGAATCTGAACATGCCAGGCTGGGGTGCACGGAAGGCTTCTGCTCTTCTTTACAGCTATAGATAGCACCAACTTCCTGCCTTTGTATTCACACACACACATATATATCAGAAGGGAATGTGAGTTTTTTATAAAGTTTTTACTGTCATTCTTCATTACCATCAAGTGCTTGTTTTGACATATAAAGTCCTAAACAACTTAGGACCTGGCTACCTAAAGGACCATCTGTTCTCATATATACCTACCTGGCCATGAAGATCTGGGCAAAAGGTCCTTCTAAAAGAACCATCCTTTAAGGAGGTAAAGGGGATGGTAAATAAAGAGAAGAAGGGCCTTCTCAGTGGCTGTTCTTCAATTATGGAACAGCTCCCCAAGAAATTTGCCTGGCACCAACCTTGTTTTCATTTCAGTGCCAGGTGAAGATGTTTTTCTTCTCTGGATACTTCCACAAACAGTCTTGAAATGTGTTATTTATTCTGACATCTGTTGTTCTAATTACTTGGTGTATTTCTGATTTTTTTTAAAAAATTGTGATTTTAACTGGTTTTATTGTTGTTTAGTATTTTACTATAAGCTGCTTAAAGAATCCATCTGGATTAGTGGGCAGCATATACATTTAAAAACAAACAAACAAACAAATAAAATTCTTATGTGATCCTCATTAGAGGCTTCTTAACGTGTTCTCCTGTAAGCCATGGGTCCTCAAACTATGGCCCATGGGGCAGATCTGGCCCGCCATGCTCATTTATCCGGCCCACCTCAGAGCTTTTGGACTCACTCAGAGAAAACAATCTCCGAGAGAGTTCAAAAGCTCTGAGCCAGTGCAGGTGTTCTTTGAAACTGAGCAGAGAGCCAGCACACACTCCTTACTGTAAAAGCTCAACTGCGCATGAGCCGGCTTGCCCCCTTCCCCATTGCATGCATATACAGAGCGGGAATATGCAGCGGGAAACAGAAGAGAAGAGGGTAGGGGAGAGAGAGAGAGAGAGAGAGAGAGAGAGAGAGAGACTGAGACTAAAATAGGATTGAAGGTAAGAAAAATATAACTTTTCAAATCCATTTTTAAGTATGTGAGCCACATCCCCAGGGGCGCAGGAGCTGCACCCTTCAATGGGCAAGTTTCCGCCACTGAGCAGCTGCACCTGGGCTCGGTGAGGCCGCGGCTTGTGGTGGAGGTGTGGGGGCTGCGCCTTTCAATGGGCAAGCCGCTGCCACAATCGAGCGGCTGCCCCTGGGCTTGGCTAGGTGGCCGCAGCTTGGCCAGAGAAGGCTGTTCCCCACCTCATCCTGGGCTTCTGCTGCAGCCTGAGGGAGTGGAGGAAACATTTTTAATTTTTTAATTATTTTTTAATTGTATTTTTAATGTGCAGTGTGCATAAGAATTCGTTCATTTTTTTTCAAGCTATAGTCCACCCCCCCCAACGCTCTGAGAGACAGTTATCTTCCCCCCTGTTTAAAAAGTTTGAGGACCCCTGCTCTAGGCTGTCATTACTTGTAACCATCCTAAGAAGTCTAATGCCTTATGCCCATGGGGTTAAAAGAACACATACACAGAGATGCAGCCTTAAACTATGTGGGGGTGCTTTCTTAGGACTTAGAGGAAATGTGTTTTTAGGACAGAGAATCAAAGAAGCATTCTGTGGCTTACAGCCGTCTCTCTGTAAACATCTTCCAACAGTGAGGGCATGGCCCTTACATCTTAACCAGGCCCACCCACAACAGAGGCAAAGCAACATTTCCCTAGCAGGAGTGCTGGTATTACCCAGGCTAGTAATTAGGACAAAAGGAAGGGAACTAGCTTAATAAAGGCAATCACTTCTGGATGGATATATTTTAATTAGCATGCAATCTTAATCCTGGAAATTTACCCAACATCACTTTCAAACCCAATCAGTATATTTAACTATTTCCTAAGCATAAACGTGGCTAATAGAGAATCAGCATTGCTGTCCCATCTCTGAAAACAATTCAAGCTAATCTGTTTGTTCACTGGCTAAGGTGGCACAATCTTCTCACAAAACTGTATAATCTCGGTTTAATATGAGGAATTCCTGACTTGAAAGCATTCTCATATAATTCTTTCTGGAGTAGAAAAGTGGAAAATATGGCAGAGGTTCAAAACAAGCCTATCTCTACATGAAAACTGAGATGGTACAGTATAAGGACTATACCACTTCATTGTATAAGGGGACTGTACCACTTCATCATGAGAAGGTGAGTCTCATTTCACATTTCATCCTGGTTTCTATTGAACATGAAAATTATGTGGGCTCCAGAAAACTATGTAGGCAAAGAATTAGACTGAACATCTAAATAAATCCGTAATATGTCCCAGAATGAAACCAAATGTATACTTTATGTCACTCTTAGGAATGGTTCAGTTAGCAAAACTGCACATCCGACTCCCTCTCCTTGCAGCTGAGCCTGCTTGCTCAACCCCAACTCCTTCTGCTTTCCTTTGAGGTTTTATCTTGCTGCCAATTCCCTCCTCCTCTGAGATCACTAGTGACTCCCTCAGACCCTTAACACAGTCTCTGTCCCACAGGCAGTTTTGTTTGGTAGCAAAGCCCATGGGACAGCAAGATGTATGGATGAGTGACATGCTTATCTGCTTGCCCAGAGTGTTTAGGGAACACTGCCTCCTCATGGTGTTTATTATGTAAGAGTTCTCTGAATACATATACATTTCTACCTTGACTGCATTATCACCCAGATTTCTACATGGATAGGATTTTACTGTTAATAGTATTTCTTTTAATGACAACAGAAACTTTTGGCAGTAACTCTGGTATGTATTATGGGGTGTGCATCAGATTTGGCTGACTCCACATCCTGAATCAAACTGGGTTGATTTGGACAGATTTGAGAGATGTCCATGCTGGAATGGGGCTGCTTGGAAGTGGACCAAATGTGAACCCTACTGAAGCTTCATTAGCAAATTAGCTTCTCAGGGACATGGAGACACAAACAGTGTCTACAGAAGCTGATATATTTCTCCCCCAGCTCTCCATATAAGGAAAACACAGGGTTCTTAGATGGAAACTAGGAGGAAGAAACACAGTTTTGTGACAGGCAATTCAAGGTTCTAATCACAGTGAATGGTTTTATCAGCAATCTCCAAATCCCAGTAATACATGGCAAGACTATTCTAGTGTTCATGGCTCTTTGCTAGTTCTCTCACAAGAGTGTGTCAATTTAAAGAGGTTACATAGAGTTAGTGGGAGATGGGAGGGTGTAGCACTAGGTGCTTATTTGGGAAAATATTGGCTAGTCAACTCCAGCTTCTAATTCTGTGCAATCCAGACACCCAACCTGTTGAACTTTCTGTGACTTTGTTGCAAATTAAAACAAAAAACAAAAATGCCTGAAATTGATTTTTAATTCATCATCATTCCATTGTCCTTGCTATTGTCCATCTGAAATTTTGCACATTTCTTGCCTACTGGCACCTCTATGATGTATATCATTTTTCATATAAATTGCTGCAACCTCCCCTCTACACACACACACACACACACACACACACACTGGGGGAAGGGAAAAACACTTAACTTCCTCCACCCAAAATTTCAGGATTCCTCTTTCACAAAAATTGCTGCACCCATTGCCTAAGGCTAAGATCGCTTATGTGTCATTTTCATAACAATTACTCACCAAGAACATCTTTTATGACCCCCCCAAAAAAACCCTATAAAGGCTGTCCTTGCATAAAACTCCCTGCACCTATTTTGAAACCTTGCAAGCATGAACTTCTCAGAAGGGACACCTACACATTTCATCCAATTGGTCAAGCAGAAAAGAAGTTATTAGTCACTTGTAGATTTCCAGTAACAAAGGAACATACTAATTTAGTTGTCCTCCAAATCAGTCTAAGGTGCAACATAATTTAGATCTAGTCATTCATATATTTGGAGTGCTCAGTTTCCATATTCTTTCCAGTTTCCATATTCTTGGAGACAACTCTGCATTATGAGTGGTCAGGCTGCATAATAAACTTGCCAGCATTTAAGTAAGGCCACATCAGTTACAAAGCACATGTATTCTGATCTAGAGAATTGTACACAAAATCAAAAAAGACCGTGGTTAGCATAAGATGTTACAGGCAGGGTTGGCATCAAAAGTAGGCATGGTTGGGCATGCTGAGGGTTGACATTCCAGCTGCAATGCTAAGAGAACCCCTTCAGGAGTGGTTCCTCTTCTTCCCTATTGCAACTGGCTTGTTCACTTGCCTCTCATTCTGGCCCAGATCACAGAGATGGTAAAAAAGAAGAAGCGACAGATGTCACTGCCTACAGGTTGTAGCAATGATGAGAAAGAGGATGAGGGAGACTAGCAGCTGGGGGAAACGGTGGTGAGAAGGTAGACCTACTCACAGGGGGAGCCCACTGACAGTGTCTTGCCCACAGGCCCTAAAAGCCTGGAGTTAG